AGAATAATTTATTATAAAATATACAGGTTTCCTGCATGAGGGATATTTAATATCTTTGAAAAAGGAAAGAATCAAGAACATGCAAAAGGATCAGAAAAAATATGAGCATTAAATAAGACACACAAGGAGAAGTGAATTTCAATTGAAGCTAATTTGGGTTAGAGACATACAAATTAAATAATATTTGTTTTTATGTCTTTTTTTTCAGAACATATAAAAATACTGCCCTGGAAAAACACATATAAATATACACACTGCTGCATGCAGTCCAAGGATAAGGCACCCTAGCTAAAGGAGCCCTTGATGACAGCTTTACTCTCTTCAGAATTGTGTTCACAAATAATAACATAATGGGTCTTCACAACTACCAGGAGGAAAATGGCTTGTGTCATTGGGTTCAGTTCTTAGGATAATTATGTGCAAGACATCTCGGAGTCTCAACATTCTGATTTGTAAAATAAACTGTTAGGTTAAATCTGTGATCTTCCAACCTTTTTTTGTTTTATTTTGGTACTCTAGTCACAAAATTGACTTTGAAAAGGAATGTACTTATTCATATATTTAACATGGATATCTAAAATTTTTTCAAGTATCTGCAGAGAATGTTATAATATAATATAAACATTAATATTTTAGAAGCAACTTACATAATTTTCTATGTACCCAATGGAATTTAAATAAATATGCAGTTATTTACTATTCAACATGGTCTACTTAAAAAAAGACATGGACATACTCTAGTGTTAGGACTCCATCATTCCTTTTTCTTCTTGATCTTGTGTTTTGTGCCCCTTTCCCTTCAGCATTTCACTCTGAAGTAAACTGTATTTGCTGTGATTCCCCTTCAATGAAGACTATCTTGCTTCAGCTGCAGGGAAGATTCCCTGGCTGTGGAGAGCCTTCAGCTGTCAAACCTTCAGGGACTGCCTCAGCTGCAGATGGCCACTTTGTGAGGTCATGTTGCTTTTGGGGTTGTTACACATTCAATAGATGATTGGTGTAAGCATATACTTGAATACCTCTGTCTAATCAAAGACAATTCCAAAGGGGTTTTCTGGAGCTCTGCATAGGGTTAGTCAAGACTGCCCTTGAGCTAGCACTGCAGTGTGATTCTCCCTCTGCCTAATCCAGCTTCTCTTTCTGTCCTGCCACAGACATTGGTTTCACAAGAATACTCCTTACTTGTCATCTAGTACATTAGATTTAGTTTCAAAATCTATTCTCTTGAACTTAGATATACTTGAAATTCTCTTATTAATTACTGTCAAATTTCCTTGAACATGTATACTGTATAAAATCAATTTTAAAAATGTTTCCTGGGACAGACTGTGTTAAGAAAATTCTTCAAGGATAATTTTTACTATAATCATTATTAATGTCAAAGTGAGTCTAACAACATCATCATAAATATTTCTAAGTAGTACAAGTACACAAGATTTAAATAGATATGCACCTCAATGCAAATAATGGTATGACAAAGCTTTATCTTAAAAATCTATGGGTGAATTAGTTATTGCTAGAATGAGACAGAGATCAACAAAGTTCTATTCACATTCCCTATGTCCACATATAATTTCTGAGAAACCTTGGATAAGAAAGTAAACAGTTTTGTTACAGAACTGTCACTACATAATACAAACTTCATCCATGGTACAATCCCAAAACCAAATGCTGATTTATCATACAATTTACTTTTAATGATATCAGCTAGAAATTGAATTGGATTCACCTTTATTTTGTTAGATCTACAAACCGTTTAATTTGCAAAATGATCTATTACCTAATTGTTAGAATTGTTTGCTATCTCAACACGGAAAGTAACACTTCCAATTGTTGATTTCTTTGTAGCCCCAGCGAGTCTTACAATGCAGAGAAATACTTCATTTATGTTTTTTTGAGGATATGGGTAGAGGATGTCTTCATTTGTAATATAAGAGAAAAATGATTATAAATAGGAAGGTAGGGCCAGAGTAGCAACAGGACCTCACCACATAGGCTAGTACTCAATTTCACATAGAAGTACACTGGGCAATTGCTGATCTGAAAATATATTTCCTTAAAACAAACACATGCCTACACCTGAAAAGCTTTTGCACACCCCAGTTTAAAGACACTGTCCCAAATGATTTCCTACATCCTATAATTTTATGGTGTTTCTAATTTTCCTTTTTGACTACATTTATCATAGCATATACACAATCAATTTCTATCAAATACTAAAATAGTTGCTTCCCAGCTGATTGTTAAGAATTAGTTGACAGATTTGTTGAAGAAATTATTATGTGCCATGGTACAGCAATCTCTGCCCTTGAAGCAACTCACAAAAGTGTGGATGGAAGAAGATAAAAAGACAATAAACATTAAATTTAATATCTAAACAAATTATATGACATATTAAAAGGTGATAAATTC